TGTGGTGGCATCCCATAGAAAGTGGAGGAATATGGGCATGGATGTTAGCCCAGGGCCAGTCTTCCTCAGCAAAAAGAGGAGGATTGGCAGATGTTAGCTCAGGGCCGATCCTCCTCACAAAAATAAAATAAAATAAAATAAAATAAAAAATAAAACTGACTTGGGACACTGGCACAGCTGTTTTTAAAAAAAAGAGAGGAAGGGAAGGAAGAGAGAAGAAGAGAGAAAAAGTAAGTCTTAACACTAAGAATGATAGTTAAGTCCATGCTGCCAGACAACAGTTGGTTGGAAGTAAAAAGCATCAGTGAAGAGCAAAGGGGACACCTAAACAGTGTGTGGTCCACACACATCCAACAAGTACTTCTGATTAAAAGAATGACACATAACAATAATCTGTTCACATACTTATAGGTTCACATAGCTAAAGAGTGAAGGAGTGTTTAAATTAAATCTTGATCACACTTTGGAATAGATGATGAGAAACATGAAGACACTAACCAATAAGCATGAGTACAAGTATCTGCAGATGAATTATACTGATCTAACCAATGGACCAGGGCATCATCAGACACTACCTGTGAAAATAAGACAGAAACGCTGTTGAAACAGTATTGTTTTAAACAAATTGGTTGCCTAATCTGGTCTCTAAAGCTAACAAAATCATTTCTATCAGAAAAGCTGGTCCTTGCTACTGGTTGTAGCTGAACACCATTCATAAAGTTCTGTCATTAGGTTCATCCTATGTAATAAATTTGTCAAATACCTAGCTTATTTATAATTGTTTTCAAGTGAAAATGGCTAGGAAGAATAATAATATAAAGTAATAATAATAAAATAATAATTAAAAGCAATGTTAGGAAAAACAGCCATTTACTGTCTTTCTAGAAATCACTGCAAAAGATAAACATAGCAGTTCACAATAAAACCAAGAGTTGGTGGGAAGGAATTTCAGTCTTGCACATCTTCCCTTTATTTAAAAAATTCTAATTTTTGTATTTAGCACCGGAAACTTCCTTTTCTGACAATACAAGCTGTTCCAAATAGTCAAATTGCCAAGTTTCTCAATGGTTGAAGCATTAAGACTAGACTATTAATGTGTCAAAACCAGGTAAATTTGTTTCTGAAAATAATTTTCTAGTAATCAAATAGGAAAAATTGGCAAAATAATTTTATATATAGACACAAAGCTCTCCTAAGCATAGTTTCAATATTGTTATAAAACAAATAGTCTATATAGCATAATGTACAAATAAAAAAGTACCTTCTTATATTTCTTTTTTAGATCAGCATAAATTTCTAATTTGAGCTGTTTCCCAGTATTTGGTCTATAAACTAAGAAAAGCTTCTTTTTAGGGTTCACTTCTTTAACTAAGATAGCAGTTTTCTTGTTGTTTCTTATCTATTAAAAAAAGAGAGAAAATATAAATATTCAATACTGCGCACATTAAGACACACTTGGTTTTTGTACCATCACATCAGCAAATACCCTTTGAAAGACTGCACTGCCAAGTAAGTACCTGAATACGTAACTGCAAGGATGACAATTGCGTGTGGAACCAAGTTTAACAAAGT